GAAATTATAGAATCAAGCATCTTTGTGTTATCAATACATATATAATAGAAGAATTTACTTACATGCCATCATGTTTGCCTAAAGGTTCATCATACTGAACTCCAATCCAGAAACCTGCTCCTAGAGCTTCTGCTTGACCCACATATTTGACAACCCCTCTCTTTGCACCTGGCTCTACTTCACATCTGTCTCCAACCTAATTTGAAACAATGAGAAAACAAAAGAAAACAATAAACTTCAGGGAATAAAAGTAATGATCAGATAGAGACTAGATATATTAAAAGAAAAATTGAAGTTAAAACCTATTTTCTGCCAAAAACAATAGTTGGAAGAATGGAGAACAACTTAATCTCCAATTAACAAAGAAGAGAAGAGCAGGAGAACAAGCTATGTGGCAATTTATCAAGTTTCTTTCTTTACAGTGAAATACTAACCACTATTAAGATGGATTGATGACATGGAACAGTTATTGTTGAAATTATCAATGTGCAGAAGGGCTAAGCAATATGCAAACATGCTATAATCTTACTCCCACCATTCTTATTTCAGATTTCTCTTAATCCTCAAACAGTATTGACAGTTCAAAGAACATGCTAAGATAGAATGAAGGTGAAAATGTAGTGCTTACCTTGATGTTTCTGCAAAGGTCTTGCATATTGTCATCTGATGTCTGTCAAGCAATTTAAGGTTAAGCAAGCCCCCCAAAAAAAAGGAAAAAGAAAAAGAAGAAGGCACCAGCCATGCTACACAAACTATGTCACAATAATGTAGAAAGAAGCCTTGCACAAGACTAATCACATGTGGTGTTAGTTAATGATGACAAGCCATTTTACACTAAAATGAAAAAATCATAAGGTAGTGGAAGATTTTGGATGCTTACTTTGCTCCCAAAAGCTGATGGATTTTGAGATGCTAATTTTTCCTTGAATTTTCTAAAAGTGCCTAAAACACAAACAGTAATAGTAAGCTTTAGATGATACAATCATGAAAAATATTTTCATAAATATAGAAGACAAAAAATGAAAATAAAAGAAAAACTTCTACTTTGATAGTTTTGATGCTGTGTCTTCAAATGAGATGCAGAAGATTAAAGAGCAAAACCCATAAAGTATAAGCGCAGAACATGAAACAACAAGAAAGAAAAGAAGAAAACTACTACAAATCCAGTGAAGTGTCTTCAAGCCAAGTCATTTGAGAATGCTAGAAAAAGATTGATAGGAATAAGGCAAATCAATTCAATCCCATAACATTAGAACATAAGTTATCTAGGAACTTACCGCTGCGTTTATTGTATTCTTCATCAGAAATCTTGTATTTCTCAACCAGTGAAGTGTCTTCAAGCCATCCTCCTGATGTTACTGATGAAGGGTCTAGATCAATGATATGTAATCGAAACCTTTTCCAGAAGAGAAAAACCATCAGCCAATAAAATCCAGGAATCAAAACATACAGGAACAGAAATCAAATAGTTATATTTATCAATCACACAAGATAAACAAGTCAAATGGGTGTCAATAACAAAACCACTCATTGGATTTATACCCAATTAACTGAGCACAAGTCTAACACCTTAACCCGTACACTTAAAAAAATACAACAAAATGATACAATTACAACATCATGTGACATTATAAATTTACAATATGATATGTCATTATATGATTAGATCTTTTCACTCAAGGTCTTCCTACTCACATTGTAACTATAGCATTGTCCAAAAAAACATCCATGGAAAAAGAGCAAGATAACAAGATTAATACTTTACTACTTAATTACGAAATTCACAACAAACAAGAGAGAATTAGACATGAAAAAACAAACCCATCATGCGGAGAGTAGAAACCAAGAGGCCTCGAGTCATCATTCAAGACAGAAACTTTAGTGCCAGTTTCATCATACAGCTCCAGGGACATGGAATTAACCGAAGTCCCACATTTTTTCCATAGCTTCTCTTTCACGGCTTCCACACTCATCTTTTCGCAGACCCCAAAAGGAAAATCAAAGAAATTTCCAGTCGTCAAGAAAAAAATATCTCAAATAAAAAAAAAAAAAAAACAAAATGGGTAATAATTTGTGAGTATATATAAGAAATGCACCTGAAGTGAAAAACGAACATCGGCGGAGAAGGTTTTGAGATTGGAGTGAGTGATGCGTAGCAATACGGAATCATCGCCCTGAATCTGTAACCGGGACGCCATTGTTGATGGAAACAGGAGCTCGCTAATTTTGAAGGATCAGAGTGGTGATTGGAGAGTAGTAGCAAACTTGGAGAATTCTGAGTTAGGCCGATGTTTAGATCCGAATTTTGGTTTGGTTATGAGTGGTTGCTGGTTAAATTCGGTTTGAATAGGCTTATGAGTTAAAAAAATTTAATTACTTGAATTAGATTATTTAACTAAAATTATTTGACTCAAAACTATTATTTTACTTAGAATTTTTATAAGTTCCCCATATAGAATTTTGATTAACTCATTAATTGGATTAAATTAACCAAAATTTTAATTAATATTAAATTTGGTTTTGAAACAAAAATTATTAACCAAACCGAACCAATGTCCTAGATTTTGATAAATTGCACTTTAACCTATCTATGGTTTTGGGTGGCTGAATATAATTCCTTGGAGTTTCAAAATAAGCACATGACTACCCATATAAGATTTTGAGTTGGTAAGCACAAGTCTTGTGGTTTTAAAATCGCAATGATTATGGCCACTATAGCTTTTTGTTTTTTGGTATATGGCTACTATACCTTTTGTTAAGGTTATATAAAATTATTAAATTTTTTTATGTTAATTTGATTATTGAAAATAGTTGATAATTAATAAGATAGTTAATATTTGTTATTTAATAAATTAAAATAAATTTATAAACAAAAATTTCCAAATATCATAACCAAATTGTTTGAAAAAAAATTATAAACTAATAAAATTATAGTCAAAATTAGTGACTTAAAAATTAATAACTTAATAAAATTATTAGTGGTTATAACCCTAGCCTTTTAAAGTATGTATCCAACAACCTTAAAAGTTGGATTTATTGATAAGTAACATTTAAAGTTAAGTTTATGGTTCAAGTTTTAAACCCAATACTTAAAAAAATTAATTTTTTTAAATGTATTGAATCAATGTGGGGTGTGCTCTTAAGTTGTTGTGGAGGGATTCAAAAGTTAACTCAGTGATATCCTAACTATAAACACAAAATAAAAAAGAGAAGATAACCATATGAAGTTTGAGATAGAAGCAATAACCACATGAGATAACATAAGGTGTCTTAAATGACTCTAATCTTATGTAATTATGTTCATTTGGCACAAATCTTAAGTGATTTTGTTTACCTAGTTCAAATCTTAATTACTTATTGTTTCGTTTGTCAATACTACATTGTGTTGCAGAGGTAGGTTTATTTGTTTTTCATCATCCAAAAACATAGAAAAAAATTAATTAGAAGTAATAAAAATATATTAAAATAATTAAAATTAATAGGATATTAGGGTTGTAAATTTGGAGTAGATAGGGTTTTGGATTTATCTTTTTACCCTTGACGTGTATCTGTTAACTAAACTATATGATCAATTTTGTTAACTAGACTAACTACATTTGTTAGTTTAATGGCTAAGCAAGAAACATGTGTAATTTTATTTATTTTTTTTTTTAAAGACTTAACTATTCTTAAAAGTCATTGGAAATTTGGAATATAACTTTGGAATAGGTCCCTCCATAGAACATGTAAAATGGTAGTAGAATTTTAGACTACGCACATTTTGAAATGTTAAGGGTGCATTTGCACGAACTCAAAACCTCGGGGCATGAAAGTGTCTTACATTAAAAATGTTAGGGAGGTCTGTGGGAAATTTACACTGTTAGTGCTAAAGGGACGCAGCAACAGTCAATGGCTTCTACTCATTTTCTTTGCTTCTCCCCGAAATAAATGGCGCCTGCGGAAACCAAGCTAAAACCCTAATCTCCAGGCCCCTATCCATGGCTTCTTCCCTCTCTCTCAAGCCTTGGTTCCCCTCTCGCTGCGCCGGTTCAACCCACTACGTAAGACTCTTTCTTTTTCATTCAGTTTCTGTTTGGATTCCGAGAAAATGATGTCAAAAAGGAAAATCTTTATGCGATTTCAATTCTAACATTTGCATAAATGCCAGTCAGAAGTAAACTGGCGTTTGATGTTTATTATGTTTAGATTCTTTCACAATATTATCAGGGGTTGACTGCAGAATGCAGGTGGAACAATTAGGAAAGCTGTAAGCTTTGAGTTGCCATGAATAAGAGCTGTTTGGTTTTCTTGCAGAGCTCTTTTCTTGGGAATTTCCCAAAAAATTTTGAGGTTAAGAGGGAATCGAGTTTAGGGGGAAAGCTGTTTTTGTTTTCAAAGAAATTGAAACTTTGTTGTTCAACGGACAGAGAAATGGACGTGAGCACCTCAGCTTTGGCTGATGGCATGGTGGAGCGCTTGAGGGGTTTGTGTTATCTTTTCTGTTGGAAATTCATAGTTTGGGGTTACCTGGACGCTTTCAGTTGTTATATTTTTTAATATCTTGCAGAATTGGATGTTAAGGAGCCTAGTATGTCAACATTATTGATGAATTTTCAGAATGAGTTTGATCCTTATGATGCAATGAGTACACCACTTTACCAAACAGCAACTTTTAAGCAGGCAAGCTTAATAAAGTGTTTTACCTGTATTTTTTCAATTGGTAATCTATGTGCCATGCTTGTGGAGAAATGAAGTTATTTCTGGGTAGTTTTAACAGAGCACCACGTAGGCTGGATATTGAGGACAATAATGTTTTCATCAATCAAGCCTTATTGCATTTCATATTTCACAAAGATATATGCTACCAATTGCATCTCATCTGGATGATATTATCACTTTTGAGTTTCTCACTCTCCCTTATTCTCTGATTGCAGCCTTCAGCAACTGAAAATGGTCCCTATGATTATACAAGAAGTGGAAATCCAACACGAGATGCTCTGGAAAGGTCCAGATTTGCATGATAGACCCTTGCATAGTTGAAGCAGTTTTATATAATTTCGAGAAATCTATTTTATTTTATTTTTTTTATTCTTCACATGCTTCTTTTTGCTAGTTATATAATCTTTGTATTCATATCTCATAGGCTCCTGGCCAAGCTTGATAAGGCAGATCGAGCATTTTGCTTCACCAGTGGAATGGCTGCTTTGTCGGCTGTCACTCATCTTCTAGAAACTGGTGCTTTTTTACATATTTGTGCTGTATTTTTTTATACTGCATCATACTTGAATCTTATAATACCATTTCATATATATTAAATTCAATTATAAAATTTTCCATTATCTGATTGTAAGAGTTGAACTTTGCTGCTCTGGTCCTAAAGTTAATTGATCATGGTCTATGTGTGTGGTATTTTTTTTAATCTTTAAACTGATTGTATATTTTCTATTAGGTCAAGAAATTGTTGCTGGAGATGATATATATGGTGGTTCTGATCGTTTGTTATCTCAAGTAACTCCAAAAGCAGGAATTGTCATAAAGTTAGTATACTTTCTTATTTTGATTATCACGCCTCAGCTGCAAGGAAAAATACTGAGATAGTTTTGCTTGAAAATATTTAGACGAGTGAATACAAGTGAGATAGATGAAGTTGCAGCTGCTATTGGCCCCCAGACAAAGCTTGTGTGGCTGGAGAGTCCAACGAACCCTCGACAACAAATTTGTGATATTTGTGTGAGATGTTTCTAAAGTCAACTTATTTCTTTTTCTTTCCACATCTATTAAGGCAGTGTTTGTCTGTTGTGAACTTCTTTGTTGTGTGCATGTGTCCTTGTGCATGCATGAACTGTGTCATCAACATTGTATAGGTAATATTTGACAGGTTCTTACATTTTTTTTTTCTTTTACTTTTAGAAAATTGCTGAATTAGCTCATGCACATGGTGCCCTTTTGTTGGTTGACAACAGTATTATGTCCCCTGTATTATCACAACCATTGGAACTTGGAGCAGGTATGCAGTGTACATGGCTTTAACATTTTTTGTCTAGGTCTTAAATTGTTAGTAATTTTGATTCTCTTTCAGACATTGTGATGCACTCAGCTACTAAATTTATAGCTGGACATAGTGATGTCATGGCAGGTGTTCTTGCAGTTAAAGGAGAGAGGTTATAGCCTTGTCCCTATTCAATCTTTTGTACATCAGAGACCACTGTTCTTTTTTGTTATTATTTCTCATTAATTGTTTGCTTATAGAATATGTCAATTCATTCAGAAATGTTTGTAAAGATAGCTTATTGAATGTAAATTTCACATCAAACATGCTAGAGTTGAAAAACAAGAAAAGAAAAGAAAAGGAAGAAAAAACAATTCATTTGCTAGAATTCTGATTCAAAGTTGCAAACACTCACTAACAAGGAATTCTGGTTTGAATTTAATGCTACACCAAATATTGTCTTACTAAATGATTAACGTATTTGCTAGACAGTTTTACCCAACACCCTTTGATACGTTATATTTTTACTTTTACAGGTTGGCAAAACAGTTGTATTTCCTGCAAAATGCAGAAGGCTCTGGCTTAGCTCCGTTTGACTGTTGGATCTGTTTACGTGGCATTAAGACCATGGCTCTGCGTGTCGAAAAACAACAGGTGATATTTCAGATACCCAACATGTTTAATCATATAATGTCTTTTTGCATCTAATTATTGTCAGATGTTGTTTCTAGTTTTGAGCACTGCAGTTTGGGACAATCTGCTTGATGTAATTAACAACTGTGGAATAACAGCAATATATCATTCAGGTATTTAAAATAGGAAAAAAAAGAAGAAATTAAAAATAACTTAGAAAACTCTGGAACTGTCATAATTAGAGAGGAAGATGAATTGTGATTCAGCACAAGGTTATATATCTATGCTCATGTAGCATTCCTTGCGGGTGCTGAAGGCTGTGTAGTGCAAAATTTTAAACTGAGCTATTAGTTGAAGGACTGCACTCCACTTGACAAATTGAATATGTTCTTCAATCTTTGTTCAGTGCAGGCTAAGATTTTTCTTCAGCGATTGCTTCACCATTGCTGAACTACAAAACAACTTAATGTTTTCTTATTTTCTGATTTTCTGTTACTATTTTTGCCCAATTGCAAGAACTGAGATCGGTCAGAGTTCAAACTTGATAATTAGGATTTTTAAATCTCCTGCAGGAAAATGCACAAAAGATTGCAGAGTTCCTTTCTTCTCATCCTCGAGTTAAGAAAGTTAACTATGCTGGTCTTCCTGGTCATCCTGGACGTGATTTACATTATTCTCAGGTATCATCATTTAGAGATAAGCAACTGCTTAAAAGAAAACTGTTTTTTGATTTACTTGTTTTATACACTGTGAATATACTCTTGCAGGCAAAAGGTGCAGGATCTGTGCTTAGCTTTTTGACAGGTTCAGTGCCACTCTCAAAGCATATTGTTGAGACTACTAAGTACTTCAGTATTACAGTCAGTTTCGGTAATGACTCATCCAATCAGAATTACATTCAGGCTGCATAGATTATAACTATGAGCATTGCATTTTTCTGAGTCATATGCTGGCCTAGGCAATTATGGTCTTAAAAGTTTGTAATATGTAAGGCTCGCATATAAAGTGATTGAAATAAATAAAATGCTGTTTTAAAAAACTCAGACCATAATCCTTTCAAGTTTGTCATATTAACACTTGCCAAACATATGCATTGGTCTCATATTATTTTTCTCAATGGTGGGATTTTAGTGTAAAGCAAAAGAAAGAGAAATATGTTTTAACCTTTTTTAAGAAATTGAAGTCATCTTTTTGGACTTACAAAGGTTGTAAAGAAAATATTATTCCTTTAAAGGTTTCAAAGCCTTGCACTACATGCAGCACTTGTTCATTCTTTTTGCAATTGTATTGAGTTTCTTAAGATGCTCGTTGATATATTGAAAGGAATTGAAAAAAAAAAAAAAACACTCAGGAGAGGGTTGCCTAGCAAGTAGGATTCCTTTGATTACTCTTAAATATTCAACTTTATGCAAGAAAATGGCATGGTCAACTATTAAATTTGGTACCTAGTTTTGTATGTAAAATAAACTCACTTGTCATTCTCTTGCTTTGTTAGGGAGTGTGAAATCCCTCATTAGCCTACCATGCTTTATGTCCCATGCGAGTATACCAGCTGCGGTGCGTGAGGCAAGAGGTCTAACTGAAGATCTTATTCGCATCTCAGTAGGAATCGAGGATGTAAATGACCTGATTGCTGATTTGGACACTGCACTTAGAACTGGTCCTTTGTAGATGCTAGGATGATGCTTATGTTGAAACCCTCAAAATGGTGAGGAATAAAACGAAGATTTAAGACCTTGTTTGACATTAAGACCAGATTATATTTTAGCTTATTTTCAGTTATCTGGTGCTTGTTTAGATTCGAGTTTGTTACAAAATGTATGGCGCAAGGCTTAAACCTCAAGGAAGATTAGTGCAGGTTCAGGTAGCAGAGATATTTTTTTGTTAATCGTTTACTGTAATTTCATAATGTTGCATCCCTGAACAAAGTTCTTAATTTGGCAAATTTAATGTTTTAAAACATCTGATTATGTGGCCATATAAGACCCTATAAGCTCCATTTTATTTTTTTTGGTATTAACCTCTCAGTATCCGGTAACCGTTTTGGGTCCTAACTAATTTGGAATCGAGTCGCGTCAGACTCCATTAGGGAGAAGTTCTCCCAGCACTTGTTTTTCCTTTCATAAAACTCGAACTCGAAATCTTGCTTAAGGGGAATCGAACTCATCGTTGGTATAAGCTCCCTTTATTTCAAATCATTTATCTTGAGATTCCTAACTTAAAATTTTAAATTTTTACAAGTTAAAACCCCCAATACCATGTGATGAGGGTATGTATCAATTTAAACCTTCACCTATAGATAGGGAAGCTTTTTAAATTAGAGGTTTGTTGGTATAATAGTTTAAAATTAATGACTGATAATTTTATTTAATTTAAAAACTAAATATTTAAATTATTAATAATAATAACAATTATTAACAGACAAATTAGCCGAAACTGTAATTTTCAAACACCTATACCAGCCAGCCTCAAAAAGTGTTGAGCACTACACCTAGAGGCATTCCTCTGGGCTCTGGACTATAATACTCAAAAACAAAATATAATTCATACCACTGGAACTTGATCATAAACTCCACAAATATTTTCCGTAATTGAAATATTCCAAAGCCCAACACAAACGATGTTATTATTATCTATAAAAATATCATTCTCGCTTCAAATGAAAAGAATATAACGGTCCACAAGACAACAAATTACCATATCTAACCACGACCACAACAAGATCATAAGCATCATGATTCACAACCAAACGTCTTTAACATTAATCCCATGATCACAGGAAAACTATGTATGGTCAATTATTTGAACCCTTTTCCATTCCGTAGTGCTCCTATTGAATATTTGTCACTGCACAATGAGGTCAGCGAGTTTCTACAGACCTGCGTTTTTCGGCTAAAAAACAAAAAAAGTTTCTACAGACCAATCAAGAAGTGGATTTCTAAAATGATATGTACACAAAGGTAGCAGTTGAACCTGCAGCAGCAAAGCAGATGATGGACCATAATTAGCTGTCATATCTAAAAGAAACCTTAAATTTTGGTACCATAAGATCCTCACCGTTAAGTTGTTGGGGATGGTCATTTATCATAATCATCAAAACTCAAGCTTTCTTGTATGGTGTCCAACCTTTTATTGTCTCCTACAAGGCCAATTCAAATAATCATCACTCTGTTCATGGGTCACACTGAAAATAACTTCACATATATAAGAACAACAATTGAGAATGAAGAGGCCACTTGGGGGTGTGGGTGTTTGGGGGGGGGGAGCTTACCTTGATGTTCTCTTTCACGAGAATCAAAGAAACTGTCATTATCTGTTGCCAGGAATGGTGACCTAGGGTAGCTCTCCAGTATATCTGAAATATTAGCGAGAAACTTAATATTAAAATCATTCCAATATATTCAGGTGAAATGATATACTAATTACTACTCTATGATCAAGTACTGCACATGCACAGTGCCAATGATAAGTTAGCTGACTCATATGAAACAACCAGCTCAGCAGGATAACACTGCAACAAGCACTCTGTTCAGTAGTAAGAAGTCTGCATGAAGAACACACATACAAGCAGACAAATATATGCAATCATACATGCAAGAAAGTGAGAGAAAGAGAGACCTGAACTCTGGGAGAAGTCAGCTGTTAGATCTGATAAACTGAAGCTCCGAGGAATCTGACCTAAAATTCCAAATGAGTCTGGATCCAGAAGTGGTTCATTCAGGGGTTGCGAGCTTGACTCTACACTACTAAATGATGCAACAGATGCATCCCCAATTGGCGGGCGTGCCTCCAGGACATTGCCTTCAGCACCAAATATGTAAGGTGTGCTGCCTGCAAAACCCGGTTCAGATTTGACAATTCCACCATTTATTCCCTGCATCAGAGCCATGTTTGAGCCCTGACTTGAAAGCATGGCTGTTGGGGCATCAACCCTGCTGGGATGGCCAGGTATTTCTATAGTAGTATGCATACCAGCATGCAAGGATGAACTACCATTACTAAATACATTGGGCAAACTGGAAGCAATGGGGTGGGGTAAATCCTCTTTCTTTAAAGCTGGCCCTGTATTCTCCGGGGCATAACAGGCTGAGTTCTGAGGCACTGTAAAAGAAAGCATTGATAGTTACAAAATTTATAAAGCTTGAAGAAAGCCACAACAGGTTTTTTGTGGCAGTAACAAAAGTTATCTGAGTAGAAAATAAATGTGAAAGTATAGAGTTGAAACAATCCCATTTTGGCCAACAAGACAACCACCTTTATTCTGAAAAAAAGCCAGACATACTGGGAACTCAACCGATGAACCAATCATCTATTTAAATATAAGATCTTAACTTCACTACACAATTTAAGACAACAGCCACATTAAGATGTTAATACCATCTACTTCAGTAACCAATCAGACATTATCTTGCCTCCCCTCCAGAAAAAAGAGGGGATCCAAAAAATGTATGGTGAAGAAGACATACGTAACTATTCTCCAATTGGTCCATTTAATGAAAAGAGGGATTAGAACAATTGAAAATAATAAGAAGAGAGTAGTCTATCCAGATGTACTGCAGGAGAAGGCGAAGGCGACATTCCATTAATGGCTATGTCGGAATGAAGTCTTTTGACACATTGTAGCCAAACCTCATAAACTTAAAAGAAGAATGTAAATGAGGGATTCCATTCTTTCCTCTTCATAAGACTATGCTTCAATACCATAAAAAAGAATTCAAAAAGAAAATCATTTGCTATTTGATTCTTTCAACCAATTTTTTTATAAATCACATCTCAATCAAAATCACATTCAAAAAGCTCATGATCCCAGGAGTGTAGCACATACCTACATGCCCATGACATTGTAAAGTATGGTAATAATGTCCAACGTAAGAAAGAGAAAGCAACTTACTTGGTGAGATATGAGATCCATTAGAAGTAGATATTGAAGCAACCCCAGTTGGATGCATCTGATGCATCAACTCCACCTGTTGTCTGAGTAGCTTATTGAATTCAATTATTTGGTGCTTCACCATTAACCTGAGATAATAGGCCTTGAAGAAATCTCGATTTTCTTCCTCAAGCTTTTGCCAAACTGGTAAGCAAGAAAGTTTCAAGAAAAGCATAAGAAAACATATAATATATGATGGCTATAAAATATCCAAATATATCCACATGAAAGAGGGAGAAAAAAACCCAAAAAGTATTTTTTATTGGATTTTCAGCAAGTCAACAATCAAAGTAAGAAGGCAACTTTGGAATAAAGGGAAATAGGAATCACTATAAATATATAAACATGTTGTCAACTGATTGACATTGGTAATCCACAAATCTTAAGATCTAGTTACTGAAATGGAGGCCAATGACACTTTTGTTAGAAATGACTCATAAATGTTTTCATAATTCCAAACAACAGTAAAACAGAGGAAAGAAAAGAGGAGGTGATTCACTGCTTTAGGAGTCACGAACTATGAGTAGTCATTTCAAGATGCATTTAAGTGGAGACTATTTCAGAAGAAAAAAAGAAGAAGTAAATAATGGATTACCAAGTTCTGTAAAACCAGGCTCGATTTTTGCCTGATCCAGTAGAGTTTCAACTACTTCCTTTTGGTTCATGTAGAGTTGAAGACATCGTTCTATAAGATTTTGCACCTGAAATCAGCCATAAAAAAGCATTAATCCCATCAATATAAAATTTCTTCTCTAAGTCTATTTGACAAGAAAACATTGCAACCAAGTTATTGTCCTCCACCAAAACTGAAAAAATATGATATCTCTTCAGCCATATTTTATTCTCAAAACCAGCATCTCCATTTACCTTTAGGTTTCTTTTGTTCCACAAAAATATTGATTCACAGGAATGTGGAATTTGTTTCACCAAGTGAAGGATATTACAATCTGATCAAACAAGGATCAATTTGTCCAACAAAACGCAGATTCTCAACTTTCAATGAATTAGCAGCACACATTCTTAGCATGAAAACCTTTTCAAACTTACCCCAACAAACATTTCTTCTTTCAACAGTTTTAAATCAATTAATTGCATTGTATTTACCAAATCCTTTGTCTTCAAAAGGATATGAAGTGCTAAAAAGTTCAGAAAAATGAAAATTTGATAAAGCAAGCAATCAAATTATCAAAATTGTTCTTGTTCAACATTATTCTTTCACCAATCAACCTATTTTTTTTAACAAAAGCAGGAAAATAACAAAATTATTTTTAATCGAACAATCCATAATACATGACAGTCCAACAACTTTAAACTCAAAAAACTTGACATCTTACCAGCTGTATATCTTGCCGAGAGACCCTCCTCACTGGTCCACCACTTGACATATTTTCTCAGAGTCGCAAACAGACTACTTAACAGTTACTATTATAAGACGAACCTGATCCCTTTGATTGTCTTTAAAGGATAATTTAAAGAATTCACTGTGCCCAAAAATTTTGCAGAAAAAATAAACATGAGATAATATGCAACAATTATCTCCTTGAATATGTTAAATAGAAATATTATTATATACAATTAGTAATTTGAATGTAAATTTAAACAAGATATAGTATATTTGACAGAGGAAATAACAAAATTACTTAGATTTACTAGGACAGAAATCTGATAAATAATATTTTAAAATTCCAATCACCAAAAGCTGTCTAGTGTCTAGATTTCTTAGTGTCTGCTTTTTAAAGGTAGAATTTAGTGCCTGTTTATAACTTTGAGCCAATGAGAAGTTAAAACCATCCTTCTCAATGTGTTATTTTTCCTAATGTTTCTACCTGTATCAATCTCAAAATTCTTCTTTTGAGCTCTATAAAGCAACATCAACTCATATCATATAGAAATATCAAATTTATTCCACAACAAACCACTAGGACTGCAAGACATAATATTGAGGCTAGAGAAAAAGATGAAAGCTCTAAACCAAAAACTGTAATGACCAAATACAACAATTACTCACCTAGCTAAAAAACAAAATTGAAGATACAGTGGCATAAATCAATCAAAATACCCACTTTCCAAAAGTTTAGATTAAGACATCAATTCCTTTATAATAGTATCTGCTATACAATTCAAAATCCCAAACACCCATTGAGATTCAATCAAAACCCATGGTCAGCAATCAACAAAAAGCCCAGCTCCGGAAAACAAAATTGGCCAAAACCCCAGCAATACCTCAAGCATAGAAACCAACCCAAAAGAAATAAATTGAAAAAAGGAAACCCTAGTATCAATCCAAGCAATAAGCCAACTGGAAGCAGATACAAAAACATCAACAAAATTATATAGAAAACCCACCAAATTGAACTGAAGCAGGAGGCGAAAACCCTATCTGAATCGAAAACGATATCCGGAAAACTTGAGATCGTGATAGGATTGTTGCTTTTGGAACCCTAACAAAACGAAAGGGAGAGATCGTGTCGAATCGCGTTATTGCCACGACGCCTTTTCTTTAGTGTTAAATTAAGAGTAAAACCCTCAAACTTTTTAGTATGGGATTTTTAGGTCCTCAATCTCTTAACTTTAAGGAGTCAGCCCTTCATTAAGTTAGATGCAAGCTACAATCTCGGACAATTCACAAAACATCTGGCCGCCATCGAAGCCGCTCTTCAATCTTCATCTCCAGCACTTCCCGCCGCCCGCCGCCCGCCGCCCGCCGAGACTTGCCCATCTGCTTCCTTGCTCCGTTTCGTTTTCTCTCACCTCCACAAGGTATAACTTGCTTAATTCATTCCAAAAATCCTTGCTTTCCGCCGGTTACTTCCTAAGATTCTTTTTTTTTTTTTCCAGATTTTTTTTCTCAGAATAAGGTGTAATTTTATTAATTCTTGCCGTGGGGAAGTGAAGAATGGATTTGTGTTTTGAAATTTGTTGCTTATGTCAGGCAGCAGTGCTTTTGTCTAGCGATTAATTCTGATTTTGATGTGTTTTTCCATTTAATTATGTTATGATTCCGATTTGTTCTGCTTCTCTTGAGAGAATTAAAGGACATAACTTTAACTTGTACATTGGATTCTGTATGGTGAATAAAATGGTGTTTATAAGGGGGCAATACGTTTGCAAATCATGATTTCAGGATGTGTTTTGTTTCAAAGTATGCGCAGGCCTATTTTTTGGCTTACCGTTTTAAATCAGCTAAGATGCTTGGGTAAAGATAGATTTTTTTTTTTCTTCTTTTTCTGCAGCTCCACTTCTGGTTCATATAAAAATATTTTTTAATTGTTACATAGATTTGGGAGGTTGTTCATGCTTGCACTTGACTGTCTTGGCAGGTACTTATATGTTGTTTAGTTTCCACGATTTGGTTCTGAAATTAGTTTTTCTTTTTAATTATTATAGTTGACAAAGAGAGGAAGGAGCCAGAGAGAGAATATAGATGGGAAAAAAATTCGGAGGACAAAGGTCCTCCTCTGTGGTGGACCGAAGGATTCTGGTTCGTCGCTTGGAGTCTTGCAAGCAGAGATACTCAACAATTGAGGAAATTGTGGACCATCTCCGCAGTAGTTACCCTGACTACAGCCGTATCAAGCAGCAGCCTTTCACCAGGGAGGTACAACGAACACTTGATTCCTGGGAATCATCTCAGCAGCAGAGGAACAGAAAGATCAAAAAGCCTTCCCCTGCTATTTTTGATTTTAATGATGAAGAAGAAGTTGACAGAACTGCTTCATGGAAAAAGCCTAGGAGAATTGATCAAAGTGAAGAGAAATTGCAGCGTCTAGAGGAGTTACACATCAGACGGAAGCAGCTTGATCATGATCATCCATCAACATTGCTGGAGTCCGAGTCCAAGTCTACGTCGCCATCCTCACCCTCATCAGATGAAGAAGAAGATGGTGCATTGTCAACTTCAGAAGACGCAATCTATGGTAAGAAATTGGAGCCTGTGTTTGATCTTACGAAGTCAATGCTACGAGCCTCTTACACAGAATCCAATAACTTGAAATCAAAACTTGAAGAAAAAAATGTGGAGATGGAGGTTGCTAGCAATAAGGCTGATAAGATTAATGTTGATTTCATTAATGGAGGTGGACGTGGGAAGAGAGTGGCTGCTGAAGTAAAGAAAGAAGTGAAGAGGTCAGTTTCTGATAGGGTTGATGGCATGGAGGTGAAGGGGAAGGGGGGACCACGTTTTAGGGACCTGGGGGGCATGACAGGAGTGCTGGAGGAGTTGAAGAAGAAAGTGATAGTGCCACTTTACCATCCGCACTTGCCACAGTTGCTGGGGGTGAAACCAATGGCTGGGATTTTGCTGCATGGGCCACCTGGCTGTGGGAAGACCAAATTAGCCCATGCAATTGCTAATGAGGCTGGGGTTCCCTTTTATAAGATTTCAGCTACTGAGGTGGTTTCAGGTGTCTCAGGTATTGATCACCTTCTGTTCTGAATGTGTTTTGTGACGTGGTTTTATTGATTATCGTTTTATACTGTATACTGGTAAACTAACCTGAATTTGAACTTCTTCTGTCAGTATGATAGAATGTGTCTTTTAGTGAATCATTTGATTTTATGAAAATATTCCAAATTGGGCTTTTGGCTTTGTGATTATATAATCTCTGTGTTTGGTTGCCACTGTTCTTGAAGGTTGACTTTCAATGACCCAGTGTATATATATTTTTTTCTTTTAGCTGTCATCACCCAGTCACCTGGATATGCCTTATTAGTTTTTACTACATTATTATGTGGATTACACTGCATGCACTCAGTGTAGGCTGGTACTGTGGTTTTATAATGGCAGGAAAGAAACTAATCATTCTTGATAAATTCATTGCTTGCTTTCTGTTTCTTTGGGACCATTCTGCTAATACTTGCATTAGGATTTCTGTTCTCTAATATTTTTCCTTATTAAAAGGCTGGTTCTGGTTGTAGCCTTGAGTTTGGATTGGTGAAAAAGGCAACTCGACTACAACCTCAGGATAAATTTTCTGAATATAATCTTTTTTATTTCCATTATCATCATTTCATTGAAATATTGGTATGCTGGAATTGTTTACTGTTTTTCACCTTTTGTGTCTTGTCTTCCACTTGAGATGGTAAACTTCTTCCAATATTATACTGACTAATGAATGTTTTCAATTCTGTTTGATGTCTGAAATTTGTCAGGTGCATCTGAAGAGAATATTCGTGAGCTTTTCTCGAAAGCTTACAGGACTGCTCCATCAATTGTATTCATTGATGAGATTGATGCAATTGCATCAAAACGAGAAAATCTGCAGAGGGAGATGGAGAGACGGATTGTGACACAGTTGATGACTTGCATGGATGAATCTCATAGGCTTTTGCAGCCAAGAGATAAAGATTCAAGTTTGGAGAGCTCTGATTCTAGACCAGGTTATGTTTTGGTAATTGGAGCGACAAATAGGCCTGATGCTGTTGACCCTGCACTAAGGAGGCCTGGACGGTTCGATCGTGAGATTTTTCTAGGAGTTCCTGATGAAAATGCTAGGGTTGAGATCCTTTCTTTGCTTACACGCAATCTTAGACTTGAAGGTTCCTTAGATCTTCTCAAAATAGCTAGGGCTACGCCGGGCTTTGTTGGTGCTGATTTAGAAGCCCTTGCAAATGAGGCTGGTAACCTTGCCTTGGAGAGAATAATAGACCAAAGAAAGCATGAGTTTTTTACAGATACTGTAGATGAGGAACATGCTGATGACTGGTGGAGGAAACCATGGTTGCCTGAAGAGATGGAAAAGCTTACCATCACCATGGCTGACTTTGAGGTAAGTTTTAGTTTCACCTTCTGTCTGTGGAGAAACAATCAACCTGTCATGTATGCATTGCTAAATATAGGTTTTAATAAAATGATTTGAATGCCTGTCTCAAAAGTTTAAAATTGTAGTTCTGTTTTGTTTTCAATTTTATGTGCTTGTCTGTACTTATATAACCTTTTTCACTGGACTAATGTTAATTATTGACATATTTATAAAAATTCTTCAAAAAATTAATTTGTTTATTTATTTTTAATTCTACTTTACTACTTTTAGAGTTTATTTGATTATTCTGTTGTAATATCTTTGTAACTTCCATTATGAAGAGTGGTATTGAACCATCTTGGCACATGATGATTTTGTAATACTTTTTGTTTTGTGAATGTAAATGTTCCTCCAATCTTCTTATACTAAAATCTTTTTATTGATGTACCAGCTTAACACAACCGTGCCTATTGCTTTTTATATTTTTACCTACAGAAAGCAGCTAAACTGGTTCAACCTTCATCAAGAAGAGAAGGATTTTCTACAGTTCCTAATGTTAAGTGGGAAGATGTTGGTGGACTTGATTTCTTAAGGCAGGAGTTTGAACGTGATATACTTAGGCCTATAAAATTTCCAGAGGATTATGCGGTAACTCTAGAGACTTGTCTTCCTTTTCTTTTCACTCATTGTTTCTGGTTGTGCTGTGTGCATATTTTTAAATCCGAGTTCATGCTTTCAGGAATTTGGAGTGGATATGGAGACAGGATTTTTGCTCTATGGGCCACCAGGTTGTGGTAAAACATTGATTGCAAAGGCTGTTGCTAATGAGGCAGGAGCGAATTTCATTCACATCAAGGTCAATCTGTGAAATGCAATTCTTGTTTTTTCTTTCTTTTTCTCTTGTTTCCCTTGTTTGCAAGGTGATATTCTATAATGTTTGATACCGCAAGGTTTTGTCTGTATGCTTATGTTTATCTTCAGGATCATAGTTCTAACTTGTGCTAGTTCCATTTGCTGAATAGGGTCCTGAACTTTTGAATAAATATGTTGGTGAAAGTGAGCTGGCAGTTAGGACTTTATTCACCCGTGCCAGGACATGTTCACCATGCATCCTTTTCTTTGATGAGGTTTGTGGCTTTCTTCCTTGTTTCTTAGTTAAACCTTCAGAAACAATTTGAAATAAAACTTACTTTTCCTTAACTAAATTATATGTGTTGGATACTCATGTTGAAGGATCGCCTGCCAAGAACTCATGGTTATATCTGCAGTTAGGCTCACTTTGATAAATTATATCATGTTCTAGCTTCACTGAATTCAGCTTTCTTTTTATCCCACATTTTAGATGTGGAATTGTAATTTTGAGTTCCTTCAAATTATCTACAGGTGGATGCTTTGACTACAAAGCGAGGGAAAGAGGGTGGATGGGTCGTTGAGCGGCTTCTCAATCAGGTTAAATAGTCTTCAATTTCCATCTTCATAGAAACTCATCTCTCCTTATAATCTGCTCCATGTGAACATTCTATTCATCTTTGCCAAAAATGGAAAAAGGTAGTAGTAGTAGTAGAACGAGAAAGAAATCTGTTCATTCATACTAAGAATGGTTAGCTTGTTTGTGGTTGCAGTTACTCATAGAGTTAGATGGTGCAGGACAGAGGAGTGGTGTTTTTGTTATTGGTGCCACTAATAGGTGGGAACATTTTGTCCATTTTCAGTCTTGTTGATGAAACAGGAGACCTATTTTTTCCTTATGTGGGTTGACATATCTTGACAGACCTGAGGTAATGGATCCTGCACTCCTACGGCCTGGCAGGTTTGGGAAACTTCTCTATGTCCCTCTGCCCAGTTCAGAGGAGCGTGGGCTGATCTTAAAAGCTCTAGGTCGGAAGAAACCTATAGATGCCAGTGTGGATTTGAGTGCCATTGGACAAATGCAGTCTTGTGAAAATTTAAGTGGGGCTGATCTTGCTGCACTGGTATGCTCTCGCTAATCCTTTTCCTTCTCAAAAAATGTTAAAGTTCAAAACTTTCTGCTGAAACTTTTATTCTTTGACCATGATCATTAATCCAGAGGTGTGCATTTAAGTTGGTCTGCCTGTTCTGCAGTAAAGCTGTTTCAATAAGAGCTATCAAAATTGGCTACAATAATGAAATTCACAAAAAGATTTTACAATACCCTAATTGATTCAGTCCTGACATGTTTCTCCTTCTTGATTTCTTACCATTAACAGTTAAGATTTTTTTTTTTGATATTGATCAAATCAGAGTCTCTCTCCATTAAACATTATATCCTTATTAAAACAATGACAGATGAATGAAGCTGCGAAGGCTGCTTTGGAAGAGAAACTGATTTCAAAAGGAAGCAAGACGGATGATACTCCATGGACAATCAAAACAATCCATTTTGAAAGAGCATTGACCAAAATTTCACCATCTGTCTCGGACAAGGTATGCACTCTCACTTCCTTTGCATTCTCTGGTGAATGGAGTCTTGAAATCTTCGAAATGTTATTGACGCCATTTTTGTTTATCCTGGTTACCTGCAAACAGCAAAAACAGTACTATCGGGTTCTGTCAAAGAGCTTCAAAGCAGCATGAGAGTAACAAAGATCCCCAGACATCCTCCAAGACGTTCCTCAAGTAGGGAGGGAATGTGGATGTCTTAACTCCTAATTACATCTTAATTACTGCATGATCAAAGAAGCCACTATTGATTTCCGTTTTTAATATATTTAGTTATTTTCCGCCCAAATACTTGTCCTATGTTTTGGCAACTAGAGAGAATCTCGTTCCCAATGATGGGGGCAAAAATTTTTGGCAGCAATGTAATATCTTTCTTTCTAGAATGGCATTTTTTTTTAGATCAAAAGATTGGTGAAGCAAGTTGCAGAATGGGATTTTTTTATTCTGGATTGCACAAAAAAATTGTATTTTGTGTTAAAAAAGTACTAAAATCTTCTTAGTAAATTTTATTAATTACTGTTTTGTTTGAGAATGTGTGTCAGAAGGTGTAAGTTCGTTTTTACGATCTAATAGTGGAATTGAATGTAAACCAAATACTTTATTTTAAGTCTTGTATTTCAAAGGCTTAAGATGCACGTATTTGGAGACCTTCTCTTACCCAGGGATTTGCAGCGTGTTTCAACATTTGCCAGTGTTTTCTCCACTTCTCTTCCCAATGAAGCTTCTGAAATATCAGGGTCCTGCAAACTAAGCTCATCTCATGTTCATTCATATAAAAGAACCCAACGTTTTTCTTTTGTAATACCATGATTTGATTTTCATTTTCTCTTCCAGAAAGCTATCGGTTTCTACAGTTCTATGCCAATGGAAGGCTTCTTGCACAACAAATTTTGCTTTCCCTAAACCCTAAAACACAAACGTAACCATAAAGTACCAAACTACAGATGGATTCCATGAATTAAAAACAAAATAATAAAGGACTTACCTCATCTCTCCTCTCTTTTAATTTTTTTGGTAACTAAATAGAGGAATTGTCACTCTTCTCTTCTTTTCCCTCAAACCGAACATACCCTTAGTCAGAATTAGAGTCTTTTGTGATTGTTGGTTTTGTTTTGTGCTCGTTTTGTCGTAAGTTGTAACCCTCACTGTACTAATTGAGCACACGAGTCTAGTCATGTGGCATTGAATATAGGAGATACAGATTTTGCTTGTTGCAAATCTCAGGCTTTAGGTCAATAGGACAATGCATATTCAGTATCTCAACCTTAGCCTGGCAAAAATTCATAGCCATGACATTCGCTCTGTATAGTACATCAGTCCAAAATGCAAATGTTCTCAAAGCACAGCAATTGAAACATAAGAATACTACTGCATAAATAAAATTAACCTAAGCACTGATTTTTTTGGAACCATTACATTAATCAACAAGAAAAGTAAAAGGACAATGAAAGGGGCATCATGGATTTTATAGTATGTTCCACTTATCCTCAACAGCCTCACATATTCTTGCGATACAGCGAGCAGCACTTAATGGATATCCAGAAACTGCAAGCAAGTTGAGGAAAACCAGCATTAAACATAAATGTCAAGGTTGTGTGACCGCAGCAAGTTGGGAGTGGCAGAGACAATGACTATCCAAGATAAATGTGTCTATTGATAAGCAAAACAACTAAAGCTATAATCAAAATACACACAATTCTTCTTTGAGCCTCAAATTAGAGATTCCCTGTTCTAATCACTTTAGCCATAAATTTGCACTGGTACCATAATGTCACCAGTGGAAAGGTCCATGGTTGAACAAACAACCATTGGCCTATGAGATGTACAATTAAAAACTAAGTTGGTCTGGTTGCAAAGAACTTATTTCATGAAAAAAAAAAAGGGGAAAAACAAATCTAGAAATTCTTCAAACATCAATATCATGTAAAAATCAATGCAGGATGTGCTTACTTGCTATAAAATCATCTGTGTAGTCTGTCTCTACTTTCCCATGGGCCATTGCACCAACCTGGAAGTGTAACGAAAGATAGGATAAGTAATAATACAAGTCCAATATGAGAGGCCTGCCAATTTTTCACAATCCTTCATTTTAACCAATTTTTAACATACCACAAAAACAAGATTCATATCATCACCAATAGCTTTCACATAGTCCTTCATTTTAACCAATTTTTCTGAACTAAATGAGAGGCCTGCCATGCAAGCAAACAAAGTCAGTTCCAGCAACAGCCTATGAGAGACAACAGAATCTGAAGTCATGCTCACCTATTCTGCGAGAGTTGAGAGGTAAATACTGGGTTACAGGATTCTTTATCACGCGTAGGAGTTTCTCTCGCTTACCAACAGCAGTTATACTCAACTTTTGTAACAGCTGCACTGTATTATTGTTTAACCCCTTATTAAGACACAGCAACATAGGAATGGTAGAAGTAGTGGAAGAAATATGAAATTGGCCCATTGAACTTACACATGATACCAGCAAAGCGCTTATATGTCCTTGGAATACGAACATGAGGCTTAACTTCAAAGAGAACCCCTTTCTCTGTTCTTACATAAACAGCTCGCAACCTCCCAGCTTTGTTAACTGGGCTATCTAAAATTGATAGGAGCGCCTATACAGAAAAAATGATGTGATAAATTGGACACTGGTAATTTAGTTCCAAGTGTATTAAATCCACAAAATGAAGCTTCAGGCTTAGATAAATGGAAAGAAAAAGGAGGCATTGGTTACACTAAAAATTATGAAATTTAGGAAAGCCAGTTATGAAGAATACCCAGCTACCTGCAATGCATAAAGTTCACTAACCTGGTGAATGATGTCAGGTCTGTAATCAGCAGGATTCTTGTTGTTTTTCCGCAAGAAATTGGCATGATCTTCAGAGTTCAAAATTTGGTAAATCTGCATGTATCAAACAGAGAATTTTATGAGAGAAGCAACAAATTAGTAAATTTGAACACAAAAGAACAGTCACCAACAACAGGGTTAAAACTTTTATTGTGTAACCCCTAAGATCTTATAATTACATGATGTTCATACATCTCATACCAATTCCATGATGTACTCAAGAAATGCACATATACAATTCATGTACCTTTCCAATTTTTGCCACTTCCAAACAAGCCCTCTCCAGAACAAAGACAACATCAGGTTTATTAGTCTTCTGATCACTTGGGGCAATCGGAATTCCTTCCAATACATGTTCTCCAGCCTGTCCTTCTTCCTCCACTTTATCCCCATTATCTTCTGCATCCATTGCCTTCTCTACAGCAACTCTTTTCACTGACTCAATCTGTTCCTCCCCTTCTCCCTCTCTATCATATCTCTCCTCTCTCTTCTTTCTCTTCTTCCCCTTTATACCAAAAGGCCGCACCATCTTTCCTCACCAAATAGTTCCCCTTTCTTAAAAAAAAAAAAAAATCAGAAAAAAGAACAGATGTTGCAGCATAAGTAAAATTCAGACAAAAACTAGCCTTTGATAATAAAAGGGTATCATTAAAATCTAAAAATATAAGCTTTCAAATTTTCTTTCGAAGGAAGAACATCCCCAGATACAACTTCGCAAAAGATTGCAGAATTTTGTGAAGACCCAACATTTATGCTAATTGAATCTAAAGCAAAAGCTTTCAAATTTGGAACAAGCAGAGTGGAAAGAGTAGCAGAGTGAAGTACCTGGTCGAGAGGAGGAAGAAAGTGCAACAAGAAGCCGGGACTGAACAAAAGGCGGCAAATATTAGGGCAACATCTGAGAGTCGTGAGGGTTTAGGGTTTAATTAAGGGCCTGTTTGGTTGGCGTGTAACAACTGCCTTAAATTATATTTGCCGTTTGACATGAAAAAAACTAGAAATATTAGTAATTTATTAATTTTGGAATGATATTTTTCAAGGTTATTGCACCTATAGGTGGAGAGGTGGGGAAATTATTTTAACAAATTCAATTATTTTATTATTTTTATGGACTTAATTTAATAAATCAAAGTAAGGTCATTTTCTTTCTCTTCCACTCTGATTCCTTTGGTTTTCTTAAATTATGCATGTTATTAAATTAATATTTAGCGTAAAGAAGATAAAAATATCATTTATGAATCTTCATGTAATCTTAATTCATTAAGAAATTTTTATCTTTTCTTAATTGAAATTGATATTTTAAAATATAAGTTTAGATATAATTAGAAAATAAAATTTTTAAAAATTGATCAATTAAATTTTAAAAGGATATTTGCTATTATAATCCTTTGCCTAGAAAAACATGAAATATCAAAAATTGAAAAAGAAGAGGAGATGAAAATTTACTTCAAATTGATTAAGAAAAGTATTATTTCAGACAGAATTCTAGTATTTAAATTTTTATTTTTTTCAATTTGGTTCCTAAAACTATATTTTGAGATGCCTTTGGCACTAAATTAGAATGCATACATTCTTAGAGGTCAATAAGTGGCATAGCAATTTTAAATGAGAGACCTAATTGAGAAAACCAAAAATTTAAGGACTAAAATTTTGTTTGGACTGATTCTCTTTTGGTCAGTCCGGACTGATTTCACCTTTCCAAGGAAAAAGTATAGCTTTTGCCCTCTAACCAAACAGGGCTTAAAATGTCCCTGCTCTTGCAATTCTCTACGTCGAGAAGCTGGCGGCAGAGAGTTTTCCCTGTTCCCTGTACAGTAACCCTTTCGATTTGGAGGCGGCCCCCTCCGGCATAAGAACAAGGCTACTTTTCTCTTTCTGCGGATAGTTTCCGGTGGTATTTCCTCTCCGTTCTCACCAATCGACGGGAAATTCCTATCTTTCGTTTTACTTTCTACCTTGCTCACACAACCGGACGGCTCGCATTCCATTGATAAATTTCTGGTGCAGAGCATAAGATAGAGGTAGGTAGTCTGCTACCGTTCTTAGAAAGAAGAGGAGCAGAAAAAGAACGAAAAGATGGCGTACCATGGTGGAAAGATGAAGTCAATATCAATAAACGGAGTGAAGATGTATACAATTTCCTCCCACCAACGCTCGGTGGCTACCTGGCTTCCTCCCAAGAAGCAACGAGCTCTCCGCAAAGACAAAAGTAAGCTAAACTGCATTTTTGGGTGTTTGTTCAATTTCACTCCTTTTGGTAGTATTGTGTTTCAGATGCTGTTTTAGGTGAAATCTAATGAATTGATTTATGTGTTTGAGGAACTTTGTTAAACCATAGCTTAAACCCTTTGTCCTAGTTGAGTGATGCTAATGAGAGGAATTGGATTCGGTCGTGTGGGTTTTGAGTAGCATTCACTACTTTGATTAGGTTTCTTTTTGTTGATGATTCTGTTCATAGGTTAGTTTACTACTAACCAAGAAATTAATTACCATTTTCTGGAGAAAGTAGGGGGTTTTGTTGATTATTCTTGTCTTTCCCTTTTAATTATACCATAGAGACAAGGAAAAACAACATTACTGTTATTCATCTTGATTTAATATCATTGGTGATGCTCTGACCATGCATTTGCTTTCTTCTTGATTATGCTGGTGAGAATTGATCTAGGTTAGTGATAATATCGTCTTTGCTAACGTTTTCTCTTCTTATTTGCTTAATGCTAGATTACATGGAAAGGGTAGAGTTGATTCAGGATTTGAGGTTTGAAACTGCAACTACGAAAATCAAGATAACTCCTGATGGGGAGTTCCTTCTTGCATCAGGTTCATTGGGGTTAATTGTTTATATTTTTTTTGCCTTTATGCTCTCTATAGTTCCTGCCTTTCTTACTGACAGTCAATTGAAAAGCAGGTATATATCCTCCACAAGTCAAAGTATATGAGCTAAGAGAGTTCTCAATGAAGTTTGAAAGACACCTGGATTCTGAAATTATTGATTTTGAGGTACTTCAATTTATTTGATAGGAGCTATAATTCATTGATATAGTAGCTTGAACCTGTGACTGTGATCAGGAACTTTTATAATCAAGATGTTAGGATATATGATTATTTTGCATGAAATCAAAACTGCTTAAATACTCGTAAATTGGTAAGACGGAGAAGAACAGGCTAAGACATACACATGTTTGGTGGTTAAATATCTACTTGCAATCAATTTATTTTAAGTTATAAACCAAAGGCTCTTCAGAACTCCTAGAGTACTCTAGATGAAAGCTAAGGCTCTTAGTGAACTAAATCACTCAATATTTTATTAATCTAAGGCTTCTGTATATGGTAGTGAGCATCAAGATTATGACCAAGTAATCTATATAAGATAACCCCAAGGATTGGATTCCTTGGTAAGCAAGTGTCATCTTGTAGGTCAGATCTAGGGTTTAAATCTCGAGGCCAGCACCCCAAGGAAATTAATTTCCTTGAATGCACATGTGGGTAGTGCACTCTTAAGATCGCCTAGGGAGGGGTTAGTCTCAAGATGCATGAAAGCTGGCCTTGTAAATACCAAAAAAAGAAAAGAAAAGTAATCTATATAAGACTCAAAGAAGCAGGCTGGAATCTGTTAACATAGCCAATTTCCAAAGGACCAATTCTATATGCTGATTTGAATGTGGATATTTCCTTTCTTTTGTTCAGTGTTTTCTCATGCCATTTAGTGTATTATGACTTTGCTTTTCGCTGCATGTACAGATATTGGCAGATGACTATTCAAAGCTTGCATTCTTATGTGCTGATCGTTCTGTTAATCTACATGCAAAATATGGGAAACATTACAGTTTGAGAATTCCAAGGTTTCCTCTTTGCAAATTAATTCATGCTTGTAATATGTACCATATTGTTTGCTCACTTTCATATTATTTAAATGGACAGTCGGATCATTTGTGATTGATAAGATTGATGATTACCTTTTGCACTTGTGGCCACCACTGCTAAGGATGTCACTTTTTTTCCATTCAAATCTATTTGAAAATAATTATTTTGCATGTGGCATGTTCTTGTGGAGAAAGCAATGGTTATTTTCTTTTCTTAGGATATAGATCTCTTTGCCTTATTGAGTCTGACTGGCATTTTCTTTATTTTTTGAATTATAAGTCTTTGTTGACCTTTTTATTACATTCATAATTTGATAGGATGGGAAGGGATATTGCATATGATTGCTGGTCTTGTGACTTGCTCTGTGCAGCTTCGTCACCAGATCTATACAGAATTAATTTAGAACAGGTGTGGCACTGTAATGATCATAATCAATTTTTGTTTTTGCTTTTAAATTATTTTGGCAGTCTCTTTCCTTCTGTGACCTTTTTTTTTTTTTGGAATTTCTTTCATTGGGGGATTATCTTTATTATTATTATTATTATTATGAACTTTCTTTATGTTTAATGTTTGTAATGTGGTTGGTTTCTTTCTGTGCAGGGAAGATTTCTCTCCTCTCTTAACACACAATCCCCAGCATTGAATGTAGTTCGTAGAAGGTTGTTGGTGAAGCTTATTGCTACTTTAAACCTTTATTGCTGCTGTGATTAAATAAATGAATGTTTAATGGCATTGGTGTCTTTGTTATTGAAGGCTGATGTTTTTCTTTCAATACCAGCAAGATCCATGGACTGGTTGCTTGTGGGGGCGAGGATGGTGCAGTTGAATGTTTTGACATGAGGATGAGATCTTCAATTGGCAGAATCAATGCTGTTGCACATGCTGGTGATACTGACCAGGTAGCTTTTTTTCTCATCATCCTTGGGAGGAAGTTGATTTCTATTAATAGACTCTTATCATTAGACCTGCAGCTGCAGTTTGGATCTGGGCTTTCTGTGTTGGACATCCTTGTATAATTCTTGGTTTGAAACTATTTTTGTTGGGTTTTTCTTACCCATCACTTAGAACTTTGGAACTTGTTTTGACATATTTCAGTGATAGTTTAAACTTATTGTATCCAAAAGATGGAATAATAAGGGCATAATGAGCTATTTGTTTCATTCTTCTCAATGTCAATGCACATGTTTACTTAGGATGCCTGCAGATGATACTATGTCTACTCTTATTTCATCTCTCTGAAAAAATTTCCTTCTTGTTTCCAAATGAACAAATAGGAGGTCACTGCCATAGAGTTTGACAGCAATGGGGGTTTCCTCATGGGTGTTGGAAGTAGTGCAGGAAAGGTATGGGGCAATTCCAGTAATATCTGTTCTCATCATGTTTGCATTTCATTCTATTCCTACCAGATCAAGTAAATGTGTATTTTTTGCTAATAGAATAAGTTTGAATATCCCTAGGATAAACTTTAATGCACCAATTGGGGCTGAGCTTTGTTGGAAACCAACTTGTTAAAGCCTTGACTTTGGATTCATGGTTAGGGTTTTGTAATTTTGAATATGCTAAGCACTCATATGCAGTATGAAGAAAAGACAAAATGATACTAAGGGAAATTTGTGGTTAAATCCTCAATCACTTAACTAGGGAAGAGAGGCAAACATATTATAAAGGTAAATCATATTCTAAGATAGCTTTAAGAATATGATATAAACAACTACTTTTTTAATTGTTCATGGGGTCCTCTTAGTTGAAGGAGGGTATGGTGTACGCTGCTGCTTGTTCATAGGCTTCTTTTCCACCTTCTCTTCCTTTCTCAGTGTCTGCTTGGAAAGTAGGAAAATCAAGAGCCATATGGAATAAACAGTCCCAAAATTAGTTAACAAATATTAGTAGCAGATTGGGATCCTAGACCTGTGTGAGTTTAAAACCAAAAAAAAAAAAAAAAGGATAGAAAAGATCTGAATCTATGATGGAGAGAAAAGAAAAGGGAGCTGTAAAATGAATATTTATTGCCGATAAAAAAAAGAATCTTTATTTAGTGCATATTAATTTGAGGAGGATGAAACAGATGAGAAATCCAGAGCCCCTGAAAATGGGAAAATGAATGTTTGAATATTGTAGTGCTTATTTTCTTTGTGATCTAAGTTCATAGCTCCATATGTCTTCTTGCAGCTCATGGTTTAGCATTTTTATGATATCAGGCCTCCTCTCCAAAAGGTTTATTTGATCTTTCTATGGTTACGTGCAGGTACTGATCTACGATTTACGGTCCTCATATCCCGTTCGAGTTAAAGATCATATGTGAGTATTGGAGGCCTTTCTCAATTTCTTTTTGTTAATTCTTATTGTTTTCTCCTTCACAGCCTGTGGGGGAAGGAGTTTGTTTATCAGTGTTTTGTTGATGATGATGTCTTGTACTGCTGAGTTTTCCTTAATTATGAGTCTATGACATTATTTCTTGGAAACTGTATCATTGTACAACAGGTATGGCAGCCCAATACTGGACATAAAGTGGCACAATTGTCTTAATTTTGAGCGACCTAAGCTGATTACTACTGATAATCATATTGTTAAAATATGGGACCCTGAAACGGTAAGGATGTTATTGATGGTTTCTAGTTTGATTGTTTCTATCATATTTTTGCAAATAACTTTAAGATACAGACATGAGATCTATATCCCCTATGTATAACATGTAAGATATATCTTTTATAGAATGTATGGCGGCATTTATGGTGTTTCCTGTTTCCAACTCTGATTCAGTACCTAGATGTTTTGCTTTTTTGTTGTTTGGTCAACTTACAAGATTCTAGATGTTTTGTTTGCTTAGACTCTTTTGATGGGAAATTCCAATAGACATACCTAAGGATTCAATGATGTCCCCTTGGGGAGGTTTAGTTATATAATCTAGTTTGATGCACTTTGTGAACAAATACAACAGTGATGGAGTAATGAAATTTGCTTTGTTTGATTCTAATGGTAGTTAGGGGTAAACAATATCTCTTGCAATTGCTAATTTCATGCATGCATACATGCCCACATAAAGGCACACACATAAATGTACAAATACCATACACATAATACATGCACATGCACATGCACATGCAATCATACACTGCATATCTATAAAATGTGAGCTTTCACTTAGTACATATTTAAAAATTTATCATGCATGTATTTGTTTAAACAATGTACTTTTACACACTTGTTCACAAATATGTGATCACATTTCAGTATTTCATGTGCATCTCACAATTGGCTTTTGTGCATTGAGTGTGCAAGTGGTAATTCAGAATCGTCTCTTCTTCAATGGTGAAACCATATTTATGTTTATCATTTTCCTTTGTCTTAAAGGGAGATGGCATGACCAGCATTGAGCCAACAGCTGGGACAATCAATGATATCTGTGTGTTCAACGATAGTGGGCTGATGCTTCTGGCTTTAGATGGTAGCCAGATACCTGCTTACTTCATACCTGCTCTAGGACCTGTTCCTAAGTGGTGTTCAATGTTGGAATCTCTAACAGTAAGTTTCTGAGATGCAACTTGATATGGTTCCTTTTCATCTTCTGTGTTTTCTTGATTTTTGCTGTTGATACTTCTTCTATTTTCACAGGAAGAGCTAGATGAGGGTGGAGAAACAAGCATATATGATAATTATAAATTTTTGACAAAGGAAGATCTTGAAAAGTTGAATTTAACCAATTTGATTGGCACCAATCTTCTAAGAGCCTACATGCATGGGTTCTTTATTGACTATCGGTTGTACAAAAAGGTAAGGTTGCCTTCTTTTATATGATTATTTTGGGCATATATGCTCTTGAATCTTGATTAGACTATTTATTGAGTGTGCATGGCCAACCTGAAAAATAGATGTTGATTTTGATGTTCCCTTTACCACTCCTTTTTAGGATTCCAGCTTGTCCTTTTGATTGTTTTTGTTTTAAAGTTTGCTTTCTGCTTAACATTCTAACTTCTTGTACCCCTCCCTCTCTTGCTTTTGGTGGCTGGCACTTGGTTTAGGGAACATTGTAGGACTGATTTGCTCGGTAAACTTTACTGGTTGTCACACAAAACTTAATATTAGCTTTTGTAGAGTGTATAGAAGGAAACTTCTGCTGTTAAGTATTGTTCTTACCCATGACCCTTTGCAGGCAAAAGCATTGGCAAATCCTTTTGAATATGAAGATTACATAGAGAAGCGAAAACAAGAGAAACTGGAAGAGAAACATCGCTCCCGTATTACGGTCAGTATTTCCTAAACATGTTTTAAAGTTTGATTTGGAAAATATTTATTTTTATTACTATTATATTATTATTTATGTTGGAAAATTATTTAATTGCTATAGAAGGCGTATTCTTGTTCTAAATAAAATATGAGAAGCTGCTGTTAATGGTTCAATTTGCTGACCAGTTGGCCAATGAAATGCTGACCAAAACATAATTGATATTTTCTTTTACTTCCATGCAAGCAATATTTAAAATCCATTATATTTCTTTTATTTATGTTAATTATGGTTGAGTAATTTATATTACCCTTTGTTATTGCTACAGCTTGGTAGGAAGTTGCCCAAGGTTAAGGTTAATCAACGTGTTGCAGCTAGTATCTTGGAAGATGAAGAAGCTGAAGGTGAAGCAAAAGCTGCTGATGTTAATGAGACAAAGAAAACATCCAAGAAGAAAAAACTTGGAAGTGAGATCTTTGAGGATGAACGGTTTGCAGCAATGTTCCAAAATGAGGTAATGAGTTGAATTTTTCCATTTTTTTTAAATCTTTTAGTTTTCCGTTTACATGCCTTTTCATACACTAATGTATTTGTGTCTTTTGAGTCCAATTTCTTTTCGCCAATTCTACTTAAATAATATGTTTTCCATGGTTTTATCTTTTTAATATGTCAAGTAGTTTAAGATGATCTTAGTGTAGGACAGTAGTCTAAAAAGTAGTGGTGAAGTCTATGATCCATTTTTCCTGTTAAAAGGATCATGGATGCGATTATCTAATCAATTGCTTAATGTATTCTTGTCATGATTTCTTTTGTCCAGGACTATGAAGTTGATGAGCAATCGCAGGAGTATCTTGCTTTACACCCCATGGCTTCGAAGAAGCAGCTACCTGGTCCATCTCTGCTTGAAGAACATTTTGAACGTGTTGACAATGAAGACCATAGCATGAGTGACTCTGACGTCTCATCAGCATCCCAGTCTTCGGAAGATGATACCATCGGCCCGAAGAAGAAAGCAAGGAAATTGCAAGGACCAAGGTTAGGCCTTGTAATCTTTGAATTCAAGATAGGTCTTATTACATCAAGCAATAGTTTTTTTGGTCTTGTTTTACTAATCATTTTTATAAAAACCTATAGAATGTATGTGGTTAAAGATGAGAGGCATGCGGAAGCATTCTCAAACCGCATTTCCCTTGCAAAGGAGGATTCACTTCCTTTGGGAGAGAGAGTAAAGGCACTCCAAAATGATCAGCGGGGTTCAGGTCTGCCAAACAGCGTGAAGGTGGGACCTGGAGGATCACGAGAGATTTCTTTCATTTCTAGAAGTTCAGCTTCATACAAGGAGGATAAGGAGGACAAGGAGGACAAGGAGACACAGCATGAGAAGAGGAGAGGCATACAATCGCTAGGTTTGAAGCCTGATAGATCAGGGTTTGGAGGCCGAGGCAGAGGCAGAGGCAGAGGCAGAGGGAATCGGGGTAGGGGCAGGAGACATTGAAATTGAACATTCCTGCACTTGTATGATATACCATTTGTCATTTTGCATTGCTTCTATACAGCAGCTGTTGAAAGGGATTGCAGGCTGCCAATATTTTGCTTTGCATTTCTTACCTTTTACGGAATTGTTAGTGTAATGTTTACTCAAGAGCATGGAGAGAAGAATTAGGGACTCAGGTGTACCAGTGGTCATGCAGGAGGGGAGGAGATGGCTCAATTTTGCAAATGTAACCATTCTTTCTGATCTCATAGCGCTGTTATGTGCAAACTATAAACGAACTCTAATATTTGTATGTGGTGGAAAATTTGAGATGCTTACTTTGGCCAAGATTTATGGAATTTTTTAAAATTTGAATTATACCATATTTAATGTCTCTGATGTTTTCATTAGTTTCTATTTATTTGGAGTTAGGATAAACTTATACCTGTATAAGTTACAGTGTTACACTGATTTACGCAGGTCAACAATTTTTTGTAGAAATTGTATTATATCAAATTAATAGTTAGATTTAATGTTTTATTTGTGTAAATTATTAACACCAAAATTCAAATCAGTTGAATAATTTTAACTATTTAATAATAATACATTATTTTAGAGCATTAAATATATAAAAAATACAAATTTTTTTGCTTGTTACATATATTACAAGTATTATATAACACATTAAAATTTGGTGTGCATGATTTATATAAATTAAAAATTCAGTCTAAAGGTTCGTTAATTAAAATATAAATTCTACAAAGAATTATTAATTGATATATGCCATGGCGGTATAAAATGATTCTAAGTCTCATATTTTTAAGGTCCCCTTTAGTTTTCGCTTCTATTTAGTTATTACACATTTTTTTTTCTCTTTTTAACTTCAGAAGTTTTTTGGGGATGTCTTAGTAGTGCTTGAGTATAGAATCCAGAACTTCATATCCGAGCACTTTCCTTAAAAGGATGGTCACTAAATTACTTAGTATTAGACATGTTCTTTTTATTATGCTTATTAAAAAATTATTAAATTTCAAAAAAATAAATTGTATATTAAAATTTTATATTTATCCTCATTGAACTATTAACACTCTCAAACTCATTAAAATATTTGGCAATTAATTAATATGGATGTTGGGAGTAATTATTCATGTGGGAGGGAAAGGAGCGAAAGGAGGAAATTGAGAGCTATTGGGCCTTCTCTTATTATACTTCCTCTGTCCTATTTCCTCTTCTTTTTTTTTCCTTTTTTTTTTTTAATCTTGTTTGTATGATAAGAGGTAACTCTTTAATATTTTTTATTTTATCCCACTTACATATTATATAATTTAAATTTAAAATCTTTTACTTTTAATAAAAAAAAATTACTATTAAACTATTTAAGTCTTTGACACTTCCTCTGTGTTTATTTATTTGTTTATATAACTAATTTTACATGTTATTTTAGGTAATAATATTATATGGTATATAAATAAAAGTTCAATTTTTTCAATACTTAGCACTTGTTGAATAGTTTTATTTGATAAAAAAAAATTTAGTTATCATTATTCATATATACTATAAAAAATTATTACTTAAAGTTAGGTGTACAAAAATTAAAATAGACAAATAAATAAGTAATAGAATGTGTACTTATTTGGGAGGAAAGGGGGACTCATTAAATTTGATTGGAAGTAATTATTAAGTCATGTTAAAGAGATCATTAAAAACTTTCAATTAACCTAAAGTTAGAGAAAAATTTAATGTAGAGTTATGATAGGGAGTACCAAGAAAATTTGAGACAAATATTTAGGATCAATGATATAACATAAGCTATATTATTAGGTTAATTGATGCATATAATATTTGGGTTTTAAAAATATAAAACGAATTTATCATTAAATAATATAAAGTTTACCTTTTAATATTTTAAATAATATAACTTATGTCACATTATTTATCTCAAATTTTAGTTTTAAATTTTGATTTCATTTATCATTATTTTTTAATATATTGTTTAAAATAGAAATTAACAATTAAATTAGAACACTTATTTGTAAAAATTGAGACAACTAAACAGGGTTGGATGGAATAATATTTATTTAAGTTAATGCCTCCTCAAGCAATATAAATGAGAGTGTAATTACCTCTTGACTAAATGGAGTTTACTAACAAGAACGATATTAGAATAGATCTAAGCCAAATGTCCACAAAGGTATTTAAAATGCTTTTAGGATTGGAGAGAAAAAAATATATATTTTGGCCGCCCGTAAAGAAGAGTTAATCTAACATGAAACATCAATGAAATTGAATTATACAATTTGAAGAGAAAGTCAAAAGAATAGGAAAAACAGCCTATGGGCTATAACAAAAAGAAAAGAAAAAAAATCAATTTTTAGGATAAATAATAAAAAGTCAATTTTAGAGAGTTCAACCAAATTTTAGGCATTCAAATGGATTAAAATGACTAGAGATTTTTAATTAAAACAATAATTGAGAGATAATTTTT